CTGAGCCCTAAACCCTAAAGCCTACAACCTAAAGCCTACACCCTGAACCCTAATCTGAACCCTTAGCCGGGTGTGTCCGCCTGGGTGAACTACTCCAAGACGATTTTCGGCACGGCACTGTCAACGCAGAATCCGTGATTTTCAAGAGATTGCCACATCCCTCCAGCTGCAGCAGCGGGCTGCTCGTCATGATCTAGACCTTAAACTGAAGCACCGCCGCTTTTCACCCAGGTTTTTAGGCTCAAGCCAGAGAACGGAAATACTAAACTTCCAGAAATGAAGCCCTGCTTGAAGCCCCCACCTTAAATCCCTTTCCGGTCAGGACAGTTTGCCCCTTGCGTTCCCAACGTGAGCAAATTAGATATAGATATGTACATATATATATATGTATAAAGATATGTACATATATATATATGTATGTATGTATGTATTTATTTATTTGTATATATTTACAGAAAGGTACGCTGTGGGGGCTCCGTTTTTCCACGGCGTACCTTTCTGCGTAAAGAAAAGGCTCCTCGACTCTCTACCTTCGAAGGCTTCGAAAGCTTCGAAGCCGAGGACAAAGCCTCCTTTGTCACTGAAGTCCGCTCTTCGTGAAGGTCTTCTGATCCTGCCTACAAACTCCAACCTTTCAAAGATTGAGTTGCTCGTTTTCAAGCTTTAAAAGCGTTTTTTTGTAGGCTTTCGTTTAAGTTTCATTTTTCGTTTGTTGACCCAAAAAGCGTTCTCGTGTGAAACTTTGAAGCCTTGGAAAGCTCTGACGGGGGCTTCGGTACCTTTGAAGGCTTTGACGGGGGCCTCAAAGGCTTTCAAAAGCTTTGATGGACGACCTTCGAAGCCTTTCCGAGCTCCCTTTCAATGATATAAATTAAATACAAACAAAAACGCTTTGCTTTGCCACACAAGAAGCAGAAGCCACAATAGACAACACACAACAAATGAAAGCTGCTCGAAAGCGCTTCAAGAGGCGCTCAAAGCCGCTTTTCTTGGATTAAAAATTTACAGCAAGACCAAGTCGCTTCGAAGGCTTCAAAGGTCTCTTCCTCAAAGGTTTCGAAGCCTTGAAGGAGCTTTAAACACGTCCTTCTTGGTGCTTGTACAAGGCATCGAGTTGCAAATCGAGCGCGCGTCGCTTCGAAAGCACTTTTAAGGACTCGCAAGCTGTTGAGAAGTGCTGTGGAAGCACATTTTCTGCAGGATGAACCAGAAGCTGAAGGCTCCGACCAAAACCGGCAAGACCCTGCTTAGTGCAAAAGTCAGACAGAGAAGAGACAGTTTTTTTGCGAAGTGTGTCTGCTGGATCCGAAATCTCTGCAAAGAGGGTCGCGAAGAAAGACTTGCAAGCAAAGGAGGACAGAGACCACACCTAGAACTAATCCGCTCAGATGCCCGGCTTCCCAGATTTCAGGGTCGCGCAATGGCTCATACTGGCAGTCGCAATCCAGTGTAAGACACCACGGCATAGCAGGTCAGTGTGCCAGATTGCGACCAGCGGCTTGAGGTCCCACCACGTCTTGTTTCGGTTTGTGTTGGCACTTGGCATCAAGGCATCAAGTATCCTGTGTGAGACTGAGTACCCTTTCCCGCAATATGGGCAGAAAAGCCATGACTGACATTCCCGCTGCTTGTGGCACTCGCTGCAGAATACAGCCGCAGGTACAACAGACCCCAACACAGGACCCACTGCAACCTTGAGAGCTGCTCTCTGCCGACGAACTGTGGGAGTGTCGTACACCCGGTCAAGGGTTGCTCTGACACCACATAGGCAAGACGGTGTGCCCATTGCAGCACTGGCCAGAAATGCCCCTCGAACTTTGATTTCGCCTGATTGGCTTCGGACTCGCACGAAATTGCTGGGCAGCTCTTGCTCGAGCTGGCTGCGAAATACGAAAGCAGAAGTCTCAAGGATTTCGGGCCTGGGGCTAGATGTTGCAAAAGCTTTACAAAGAACACATGGTGACGATTGGAACTTCATTTCTGGGCGTCTTCTCAGTCTCGTTTTCAGCCATCTCTCGTGGAAAGAGCGCAGAATGGTCAGCCTTTGCAATTTATCGGCATCCATCCAATCCGATTTCATATGTGCAGGTCTGTAGTTTCCGGAGTGGACCTGCCTCTTCGAGTCTTCCACACTCCGCCAGAGAACGGAAAGTCGCTCAGAATGACGAGGCAGAACAACAAGAAGTACGACGTTTGTAGCTGCGGTGCGTGGATCTACGCCGACAAGGTCAAGAAAGACACGGTGACGCACTGTCAACAGTGCTGGAAGTCTTGGCTGAAGACCCGGACCGACAACAGGCGCTAGAGCCCTGGGGAGCAGCGAAACACACACAGGATAGGGGGTCCTGAGGGTACACATTAAAACTCGGCCGCTTTTTTCACGCAAAAACGGCCTCTTCGAGCTTCCTAGATTTCC